TTGCAATACTAAATTTAAATTGTAGGCCTGGCAGTTATCTCAGAAAGCCCAGTCTCGATAATTCGTCATCCAAGAAATGTACTTCTTAGCTTCTATTTTGTTTTGGACTTCCTACAGCTTGTTTAGAAGACAAAGGGTGTAATTCTGACATTTGTCTCTCAACCATTCAGAAGTTTCTTGCAGTCAGGAAATAAACTAGGGGGTCTCTAGTCTGGATCGCTGCTGCTGCTGCTTGAGATTCACGTCACTGGATTAATATCCTACCACACTGTACCTGTTAGTTTGTGTGACAAATAGAACATGGCATGCTGCTTTTGCCTTTCTCTCTTGAATCACTTGCTCTGGGGAAGGAAGCCAGATACTATGTCTTAAGAATCCTAGAGAAGCTAGCAGAGTCAGGTACCAAAGACACAGGCTAACAGCTACCTGAATGAGCTTAGACATCCTCCAGGCTGGACACGGTGTACATGCTTTATGATCCCAGCACTTAGGAGGTGGAGGCAGAAGAACCAGGAGCTCAAGGTTGTTCTCAAGCAAATTAGAGGCCAGCCTAGGCTACATAAGACCTTGTCTCAAACAACAACAAAAGCAAAACCAGGCTGGTGGTAGAACACCTGACCAGCATGCATGAGACCGTGGGTTCAATCTCCAACACTCAGGACAAAAAAGAAGTGTGACCCTCCTAAACAAAATCTGGTTACCTACTCTGGCCAGTGCAAGAAGTGAAGAAGCAAGGAAGAAGAGAACAGCACGATGTACAGCAGGGACATAACCAAAAAAACTCTGCTATTTGCTCTCTCCTCATCCCTGGTCCCTTTGACCTTTATTTATTCTCAATACCCCTGTCTTTTTCACAGGCCTTCTAGTCTTTATCTGGATGACTGGCCTAACAGGGTAATAAATCGTATGTGAGATCTGGTCTAAAATATGCTTCAGTTTTCCTAAATGTGTCATTTCTTAATCCATTGAATGAGTATCACTGTATCATTTCAAATTTACATTTTACTGGACTTTGGAACTTGTACTGAGCACATTCATTAGATACAACTAAATAAACACTCTTGCCCAAGAAACACACACATTAGTGACAAGTGAACAGTCTTCTGTCTATAGTGAACCTTAAATAAAATATAAATACATGAATAATCTTCTTTCTAGCTTTCAATGTTTTTAGTGGATTTTGTGCTCTAATTGTAAATTTCTTTTCTGATTTTTGCCTGCATGCATGTAAGTGCAACCCATGCAATGCAATGCCTGTGGTGGCCAGAAGAGGGCGTCAGATCTCCTAGAACTGGAGTTACAGACAGCTGTTAGCCTCCATGTGGGTCCTGGAAACTGAACCTGGGTTCTCTGCAAGAACTGCCAGTGCTCTTAACCACTGAGTCATCTCTCCAGCTCCCTGTGTTCTATTTTTATTCTGAGTTCACACAGGCAATATACTATTTCCCATCCCTGGTAACAACAAAAATTTGGTTTAACTATCATTTTAGTGATTTCAGTTAGAAAGGTAATAGACTCTATATTACTTGTAGGAAGAAATGACAAACAATAAATCAGTCCTTTATTTTTTTATCTGTATGTCAACTTATACTGTGAAATCAATTAGAAGCTCAATCAGAACAGTCTTTGAGAGGTAGACTAGAGAGGATTTTAAGGGTAGGTTTTGTTTCGATAGATATCTAAGGTCACAGAATTTAAGATATAAAGTCTTTTCTGTACCTCAGAAAAGCCTTTCTATTCACTGTATATGTACAAGTGTTATTCTGCATTTTGAGAATATTATTAAAACAGAAGTAACAACATACAGTAGTCATATGCCTTCAGTTTATTCGTGGATCCATACATTCTATGTCCTATCCCATCAAGAAGACCTTTCTTTCAAAGAAGCTAAATGTTTTTTCCTGGCTTAAGAAAAAAAGGGAGCAGGGCGTGGTGGCACACGCCTTTAATCTCAGCGCGGGAGGCAGAGGCAGGCAGATCTCTGTGAGTTCGAGGCAGGGTAGTGCTACAGGGAGACTCTGTATAGAAAAAGACAAAAAAAGGGGGGTGGGGGGGGGGGGGGGCCTGAAGAGATGATTCAGTGGTTAAGAACACTTGCTGTTCTTGCAGAGGACTTGGGTTCTGTTCCCAGCACCCACATGGCAGCTAACTGCTGCCTGTAACTCCAGTTCCAGGGGATCTGAAGCCCTCTTCTGGTCACCAAGAGCACCAGAAAAGCAAATGGTGCCCATACTTACATGCAGGCAAAACACTCACATATATATAAAAGAAAAACAAAATCTTTAAAAGGAAAGGGCGGGGAGACCTTCACTAATCACTAATTACCTGTTACTTGTTATTGCAAGGTTGGGTAAGTCTGGTAATTACAGTGAGAGGGAAACTATACTATTTTTGGTCAAAAATGTCTGACTACAAAGAAATTGTCGCTCAAAATGGAATTAGAAACAACTGGAAACCCAAATCAGCACTTGATTCACAACCAAACTTATCATATCACTTTCCAAAGATACAAGTATGAAAGAAATAATGCTTTCTCAGAGTTCATAACATTTCAATCATATCTCATTCACACAAAATCTGAACAGGTAAGCCAATTCATTTAAAATTAGATATATTGGTTCGCCTGAAAGTTTAATGTTTGCAATGATTTTTCAGTATAACATTCTCATAAACACATCACTTGAATGGTAATTCATATACATTTCCTCTTTAATTTTTACACTACCAACAAAAATGTATACAATAATCTTCTCATTGTATGGATGATGAAATAGAAGCTCAGAGAAAATAGTGATTTGCTCCTTGTAACAAAGACTATAAAAAGCAGAGCTACAATGTCAATGCAGATGTGTTTAGCTTTAAATGCCATGTTCTTTGTTGTTGTTTTGCTTTTTTTTTTGGCTTTTTAAAAATATATTTCATTATTTTTATTTTATGTGCACGAGTATATTTCCTGCACATACGTAGGTGCACCTGTATCGTGCGATGCCTAAGGAGGTCAGAAGAAGGTGTCAGATCCCCTGTAACTGGAGTTACAGACAGTTGTTAGCTACCATGTGGGTCCTGAGGATTGAACCTGGGTCCTCTGCAAGAGCGGTCAGTGCTCTTAACCCTCGAGCCTTCTCTCTAGTCCATTTTTGGTTTTTTTAAGACAAACTTTAATTTTGTAGTCCAGGCTGGCCTTGAACTCACTGTGCCTCCTACTTCTGCCTCTCAAGTGCTGAGATTGTGAGTGTGAACCACTATACTCAGTCACTTTTCAATTTCTAATCCCATCATTAGAAAACTTTGAATAACTCCTAAAAGTATCTTGATATGGTCATGAGATTCCTAACTGCTGTGCTTAAAATTCCTTAGTGACTATTACTAACTTGGAAGAATCAACAATCCTACTATATTTAACCTGGGTGGAAATCGAACAAAATTGGGGATATTACTTATGAATAGGCTTGTTTATATTCTTGAGAAAAACTGGAAGTAACTAAAAATCCCATTTATTTGATTTAAATAAGGTAAATATTGACACAAGACCTTACATTTAATGACATTAGCCTGTCAAATGAGTCAAGCTTTAACAACAACTATATTAAAAGGGGAAAAACGTTAGAGCAGTAAGTTAAATAAAAGCTAGTAAACACAGCTCTGTGTTTTCTTTACACCTTGATAATCATCAAACATATGTTTAATGATGAGTCATTTCAAGCAAAAGCTAAGGACAACTGAAGAGTAGAGTCAGCACTAAGAATTTCAATGATATCCAACTCAAACATTCATAGGGAGATTAAAGTTATTTTATTAAATCATGCACATCACGTCTGTTAGTGCAAATAGTTTAATCTGTACTCCAGAAATTCTATTGCATGTTATATCTTTACAAAATAGATTTCAAACAATTATTTACTTTAAAAAATGTAATTTTTGAAGTTAGGCATTTCAGAACAGTATTTGCAATAACCTATATACAAGAGGTACTGGGTACCACTGGCATATTAGCATTTTGTGGTGGAGTGGCTTCCTGCAACAGAAAATGATGACATGAACCAGATGACAGTATTTTCTACAAGTCATTTGTAACTAATTCCTCCATAAATCTAGTGAGCCTCCCAACAGCAATCCCAAATAGTTTAAGATACAACCTTTAAAGTATAAACAATGACTGCCAAATATCACAAGGCAAATTATACCCTAAGCTCCCACTTCAGAATCTGGCTAGACCTATGTATTCCCATAGAACATTCAAGCCAATTCACTGACATTCTCTCTCAGTCTTCAGACTGAAAAAAATTTAACTATATGATACTTTAGAATATTCTATGACCTAAATAAACTTTTTTGACATAACTATGGTGCTGCACAAAACCATAGCTAAACTTTCACTTCTGTGTTTTAAATTTATAACATCAAGCAGTGCTTAGGTGCGTCACTGCGTGGAACACTATCAATCTTGGGAAAAGTGCATCTAATTAATAAAATGTCCCAATTAACAACAATAAAAAGAATA